TGTCGCCCAGCTGGAGTGCAGTGGCGCGATCTCAGCTCCTTGCAACCTCTGCCTTCCGGGTTCAAGCGATTCTCCCGCCTCAGCCTGCCAAGGAGCTGGCAGCTTCTTTCTAGAGCGACAAGGACGTGCGGAACCTTGCCAGGGTCCGCGCTCAGAGGACGTCAGGGGAGTCATTTCGCCAGAATAATGGCTGAGCTCGAGGGCTACCTAACCTTGAAACCCAGCGCCCTCCTGATTCACACGTCCTAAGACGAATAAATCCTCAGTCTGTGAAAACCCACTAGAAGAAACAAGTGCAACAGTCTTCACCTCCCCAAACAAGTCTCAGAAGCGGGAAAATCAACGCCGCCAATAGGCGGGAAAGCCACAGCAGCCTGCCATGGCTTCACCTCATTAGCTAATTTTGCTGTCCTTCCCAGTGACCCGCCTCTCTGCTTGCGGGCGATATTTTCATTGGCTTTCGTCTGCCAGGCCTCCGATCTCATTGGTTTGCTTTTCTGTTCGTCAGGCTTGGGGGCCTGGAGAAAAGCGGAGGGCGCGTCAGTTTTGGGGCTGGAGGCCCCGCCTCCGTGTGCCGTGTGCAAAAACAAACAGCCGTTAGGAAGGCGGTGCCGGGGGGGGCGGGGTCTGGCTAGAAGGAGGCGCGCGATTGAACAGTTGCCGGGGTTCGAAGTAGCAAAGCGAGCGGGTATTGGCCGCAGCGGCGCGAGGCGGGCACGGGGCATTGTCCGGCTCTGGCGGCGGCGGTCGGTGCTGCGAGAGCGGCGGCGGCGGCGCGGGTCGGCGGCGGGAGGGCGCGCGGCCGAGCGGAGGCAGAGTCGGCGCCGAGACCATGGTAAGGGCGGCCGGGTGGGCCGGAGGCGCGGGGCCTGAGGCAGGGCCGGGAGAGCAGAGCGCTGAGGCCCCGGCGTCGGCGCCGCTACCTGTGGAGTCGGGAGTTTGCGGGCGTTGGGGCTGCGTCCGGCCGAGCCCCTTGCCGCCCGCCGGGGGGCGCCATGCCCGGCTGCAGAGCCCCACACGGGTCCCCGGGTGAGAGCTGGGCCTGGCCGGATAGAGCACGAAGTGTGTCCCGAGCTGGACAGGTTTGTCCCGACGCTGGTGACGCTGCACCGCCAGTCCGAGAGGAGGATGCCGCCAGAATCCGGCTTGAAAAATGTAGAAACAAGTGTTGGATCTTAATGTGATCGCTCCTCCGTACGAATGAGGTCAAACAGGCTGCTGCTGTACAAGTTACAAGTCTTTGGCGATGTTTGGTTACGTAATCTCCCTGGTACTCAATTTGAGGGTTTCTGCGAAAGGGTGCTTGTATTTGTGGTCTTTTGAACTACAAAGAATGGTTTATAGACCAGAACCGCACGGTTTGTTCTAGGTGATTGCATAGGTTTGAAATGAACGCCCTTTATCTTCTGACTCCCTTGCAGTTTGTGTTTTTCATTATACAACAGTACTTTCCTTTGCCCTTGCTATGGATTTTCAGTCTTAAAAGTATCCACCTTTTAATTCTGAAATTCACATTTAGATTAAAAAAAAGCGTGGCTTTTAAAAAATGAAAGTGAATAGATCTTCAGCCCCATTTTAAAGTTGAGGGAAAGGAGAAAGTGCTAAAGGATAAGCTCCGAGTTGCATCAAAGATTGTGTAAAAATTAAGACTTATTATGGAATCTTATTTTTACCGGTATTAGTGCTTTAAGTCTTCTGTCGAAAGGTTACTTCAACGGGAGCTGCCTGTTTAAAAGTTAACCCCAGGCTGTCATTTCTCATACTGCAGGTAGTATTGGATGATTTGTCATGTGCTTGATATGACAGGTATGATATTTACTAGACATAACACCTAACTATAAACAGATTGGCCAATCGAGAGGACACAGTGTTTGGTTATTGTAAAATTCCCAAATCTTAGAGCTTGAATAGACCTTAGGGATAATTTCGTCTAACGTGTAATACATATAGTTTATTGTTACTGTAAAGTACTTTATAATACTTTAACAAACTGAGGTACAGTTTGTTAAATACTTTAACAAACCTGAGGTACAGATTTCCTCAGATGATTTTCATGATTCTAGTTTTTAAGTTGTTTTCAGTCTCTAGTGATAAGCTATATATTTTATATCCACTTACCAGCAGCTAAAAATACGTAAGCATTAACGTAAGCTAAAAATGCAGGCGACATTGAGTTGTTCTTGTTAGATTTTAAACCTGAGAGGAAGTAAGCGGTGTCTGTTAAAACTAATATGAAAGTTTCTTAGTATCCAGTTTGCAAGTTTATCCAAGTGAAATGAACTCCCTGTTCCCCCTCCCCTCCCCTCCCCTCCCCTCCCCTCTCCTCTCTCTCTCTCTCTCTCTCTCTCTCTCTCTCTCTCTCTGTGTGTGTAATTTTTTTTTAAACCAACAGCCTTAACTCAGGTTAATACGAAGTTAATTCTTGGAATAATAAATTTTATATCTTAATTGGTTTCTCAATCACCAGTTATATTAAAATGAATATTCAAAGTAGGGAGGCTGTATAAACAGTTTGAGGGGATATTGGAAAGAAAATAATTATTCATTTATTGTACAATTTTATATTCAGATAAGTTTGATACCATAAAAGTTTTTTTTTTTTTTTGGTTAAGTATGAGAACTGTATCAGGAGTCACTAAATGTTGGAAATAGTCATTTAATGTATTGAGGCTTTTAAAACCTGATTGTGTGTCTACTTCCTTAAAAAGTAAATAGAACAGCAAATGTGACATATCTGAAACAGTGAGGATAAAATTGCTTAAGCAGAGTAGTTACTATATGACCTGGGGTGTCTGGGGAGTTTTGCAGTGGTTGGCTTTTCATTAATAACTAGTTCTTATTTTTTCCAGTCCAGTCATAAGAAGACAGTGATTCTAATTTTAGATGCCAGTTGAAAGGTTAAGTGTTATAATTTAGGGCAAATAGAGATCAAAAGGGTTTTTTAATTTGAGAATTAAGTAATATTATCTTATTAATGGAGCTGACCTGAGAAATCCAAAAGTTACACAATATCTTTTTCTTATATAACAACATAGTCAAAAATTATTAAAATATATGAGGCATTCTAGTAGAAATCGAGAGTTCTTCTGGTACACTTAAATCAGTCTCTTGCTGAATTGCCTAATGTCAGAGAGTGAATATGAATTAATTCTTAGATTTTAATTTTTCCTGTTTCTAATACCTGCCAAGATTTTACTGTTTTTCTTCCATATTATCTTGGATGACACGCACTTAATCCACTTAGACATGCAATTAGAGGAAGTATACAGTTTTAATTTTTAGCTTTAAAAGTTTTTTAAGGATTCTCTGCACATCTCTTTGGGAAAGAAAAGAAAAGAAAAAAATGTTTTAAGGAAAGGGTTAGTTACAAAGGGGATATGCCATTTCAGAGCTTACCATCTATTTTGAAAGTATTGCCCTTCAAACAGCCAATCTTATAGACTGATTTTTTTTTTTAACAGTAAAGAAATAATCTGTTTAAATGGTAAAAGCAAAATATACGAGAGAAAATTAGTTTTATTCTTAAGTCAGACCCTTGGTATTTCCTCCCTAGAGGCAAATAACATTTCTAATTTATTGTATCACCTTCTAGAAATATATGTGTACACACATACTCTATAATGCCCCATATTTACTTAAAAGCTCATTACATTTGCACATACTTAGCTTTTTTCATGCAGAAATAGGTTTTGTTTTTCAAGTGTACAGTTCAGGGGCATTAGGTACATTCATAGTGTGCAGCCATTACTGCCATCTGTCTCTAGAACTTTTTCATCTTTCCAAATGGAAGCTGTTCCCATTAAACAATAACTCAGCCAGGTGCGTTGGCTCACGCCTGTAATTCCACCACTTTGGGAGATCGAGGCAGATGGATCACTTGAACTCAGGAGTTCAAGACTAGCCTGGCCAACATGCTGAAACCCCGTTTCTACTAAAAATACAAAAATTAGCAGAGCTTGGTAACACCTGTATTACCAGCTACTTAGGAGGCTGAGGCAGCTACCCTGGCAACCATAAATCTACTTTCTGACTATGAGCTTTACTACTTTAGGGACCTCATAAGTGGAGTTATACAGTGTTTGTCTTTTTTGTAACTGGATTATTTTGCTTAGCATAATGTCTTCAAGGCTCATTCATGTTGTAGCTTGTGTCAGAATTTCCTTTTTAAAGCTGAATACTTACTATTCCATTATACGTATATCATTTTGTTGATCCATCAATGGACACTCAGATTGTTTCCACCTTTTGGCCATTCTAAATAATGCTGCTGTGAATATGGGTGTACAAGTATTTGTTTGAATCCTTGCTTTCAGTTTTTGAGTGTATACCTAGAAGTGGAATTGCTAGACCATTTGACAATTCTGTGTTTACTTTTTTGGGTTTTTTTTTTTTTTTTTTTTTTTTTTTTTTTTTTTTTTTTTTTTTTTTTTTTTTGAGACGGAGTTTCGCTCTTGTTACCCAGGCTGGAGTGCAATGGCGCGATCTCGGCTCACCGCAACCTCCGCGTCCTGGGTTCAGGCAATTCTCCTGCCTCAGCCTCCTCAGTAGCTGGGATTACAGGCACGCGCCACCATGCCCAGCTAATTTTTTGTATTTTTAGTAGAGACGGGGTTTCACCGTGTTGACCAGGATGGTCTCGATCTCTTGACCTCGTGATCCACCCGCCTCGGTCTCCCAAAGTGCTGGGATTACAGGCGTGAGCCACCGCGCCCAGCCGGGGGTTTTTTTTTTTTCTTGGAACATGCTTTATTTTTCTGAGAGCTAAGTTCTAAATAGTTCTATGAAAGTAATATGTTAACATTGACATTTATAAGAATTGTGAAATATTTCATGTATGCATAAAAGTTACACTGACTTGCAAGATTCTTCAGTCTGGAAATTGATAAATATGTTCATTTTTAGAAATCTCATATTTTTTGGCTGGGCACAGTGGCTCATGCCTGTAATCCCAGCACTTTGGGAGGCAGAGGCAGACAGATCACTTGAGGTGAGGAGTTGAAGACCAGCTTGGCCAACAAGGTGAATCCCTGTCTCTACTAAAAATACAAAAATTAGCCAGGTGTGGTAGCACACACCTGTAATCCCAGCTACTTGGGAAGCTGAGGCAGGAGAATCGCTTGAGCCTGGCAGGCAGAGGTTGCAGTGAGGCAAGAGCATGCCACTGCATGCCAGCCTGGGCGACAGAGCTAGACTTCGTCTAAAAAAAAGAAAAAAGAAATCTCTTATTTTAAATAAGTGGTTAAGGTTTGACTTATTTAATAGAAATTATAAAAGGTGATAGAATCCCATGTATATTTACAAATGAGGAAGGGGATCACCTAGATATTTTTAACTACCTAAAGTAAAACTAGAAGAAATTTCTTTTGAAGTAGTATTTTCAACTCTTTTCATTGAAATTTTTTTTTTCTTTGCATTTAGGCTGGAGGCAAAGCTGGAAAGGACAGTGGGAAGGCCAAGGCTAAGGCAGTATCTCGCTCACAGAGAGCTGGGCTACAGGTAATGAATCCATGCTGTTGTTATGTTATTATTTTCTTTACTGTTGTAATTTATGACTTATAAATGTTTTATCAGTCACAAACATCTACTTGTATTACTGCAGACTCTTGTTTTTTTGAGACAGAGTCTCGCTTTGTTGCCAGGCTAGAGTGCAGTGGCACAATCTCGGCTCACTGCAACCTCCACCTCCCGGGTTCAAGCGATTCTCCTGCCTCAGCCTCCCGAGTAGCTGGTATTACAGGCACCCACCACCACGCCCAGCTAATTTTTGTATTTTTAGTAGAGATGGGGTTTCACCATGTTGGCCAGGATGATCTCAATCTCTTGACCTCATGATCCGCTGGCCTTTGCCTCCCAAAGTGCTGGGATTACAGATGTGAGACACCACACCCGACCAACTATAGACTTTTAATAATGAGATTGCTTGGTCAATACCTAAGTCATAAAGTTATAAATTGTATCATATTGAAGTAAGTAAGCTATGGTTTTTCTTTTGAAGATGTTTACAATGATTTATTAACTGTCAGGATGAGATACAATTTGAGGGTTCAGTGATGAACTATCTATTCATCCTCTGAATATTTCCCTTAATACCCTCAGTTTTAAACTGAGTAGTATACTCAAAACCACTAAATATTTTCAAACTTCATATATTTGAATTATTGTATCTTTACCCCACAAGTCAAAATTTTCTAGGTGAGTTAGAATTACCTGTAAGTGGCGCCGGGCACAGTGGCTCACACCTGTAATCCCAGCAAGCACTTTGGGAGGCCGAGGGGGGCAGATCACAAGGTCAAGAGTTCAAGAATAGCCTAGCCAACATGATGAAACCCCTGTCTCTACTAAAAATACAAAAATTAGCCATGTGTGGTGGCACATGCCTATAATCCCAGCTACTCAGGAGGCTGAGGCAGGTGAATTGCTTGAGCCTGGGAGGCGGAGGTTGCAGTGAGCCAAGATCACGCCACTGTACTCCAACCTGGCAACAAGAGGGATACTCCATACTGAAAAAAAAAAAAGAATTACCTATAAGAAACACTTCTCTCTATCTTTTTTGTTGTTGTTGTCATTGTTGTTTGTTTTTTGTTTTTTTGG